CCCTCCTGAGCTAAGACAAAAATGTGTGAGCCAGAGGCTAAAAAACGTGAGCTAGCTCACACTAACTCAGCTTAAAGGAACACTGGTCTCCACCATGTTACTGGGCCTGGCAACCAGCCCCATGCAACTGAGCCTGCTGCCAGAGGGAAGGAAGGAATACTGAAGATTGGGGGGAAGACAAAAGTAGGTTGGTGGGTGAGTGGGAAGGAGGAAGCAGGAAGCAGGAAAAGGGGAGAAGGTATAGGAGATTTCAAGTAAATGAAATAGAAAATAGTGGGAGAGGAAAATAAGATGCCCCCCACAAGTCCATGTGGGTCTATCACTTGTGGATATCTAAATATGGAAGCAGTATTCTATTAGATTCCCTTGCAAGGAATGGGAATTTATTTACTATTTTATTTACTTTATTTATGCCCTGTGTTTTTATCCAAAGTGACTTACATTGTTCTCTTCTCCATTTTATCTTCACGCCCTTATGGGGTAGGTTAGACTGTGCGACTGGCCTAGTCACCCAGCCATCTTCCATGAATGATTGGGGATTTGAACCTGGGTCTCCCATACATTCGTCTGATAGTTCAACCACAATGGCCCTCAAACACACACACACTGGTATGGGGAAGCTGCAAGAGGGTTTCTAGTGCAGGTTCCCGTTTAAAGCTGAATGATGAACCAGATGTGATGCTGGAAGCACAGTGAATGAGCTCCCAACTATTTCTTTCCTTTTTAGACACAAGTATGATTTAAGCCCGCCTCCATTTCTCAACGTCAAGGCCTCATAGAGCTGCAATTTGTCCTGTCTTCATTGGGATCTGTATATTTGCTCTAACAGGGCAAACAGCAGATTTGTGGGACATTTCAGTAGGATGATGTGGGATGTGGGCTTAGACAAGGAAAAAGGGGGAAACAGAAAAGCAAAAAGAAAAGCACAATATAAATGTTGTAAACAGGTGTTTTAAAAAAGGAAAACAGGAACATGAGCTGAGACAAAGAAAACTTATGGCCAGGAACTTCATAGGTGAGAGCAGCTAAGTTCTCATACTGATTTAAAATAGCCTATGAAATCGCTGGCTGCAGGCCTCTTGAAGCAGTAAATGTGTATTATGTGGGAGAAGCACTGAATTTGCCCAGGTTCAAAATATTACACTTTTGAGTACATTGGAAAGTGTGTGTGTGTATGGGGGGGTGGTATGTGAAAGGCATGGCATGCTGTAGGCAAACTGATTTGTTTAGAGGTAGCCTAATAAACTGAGGCGCCAGGAAACTTGTCACTTGTTTTCTCTTTCTTCCTTGAGGGGAAAGAAAACAACAGGCTGAGCAGAGATGGGAAAAGTGTTCTTCTGCCTTTACAGGCCAAGACAGTAAGCTCTTCCAGATGAGATCACTGTCAGGGTTGATCAATGTACTGACCTACTTAACTTGACAGTGCCTTTTTACCTATAGCAGAATGGTGGCTGACATCAGACTAATAAATATGCATGATTTCTCCCCCTAGCAATTCCTTCCCAAACTTATCAGCTGCCTAGATCCCTGCTGCTGCACTACCTAAAGCTCAGAATACAACCCCTGCTTGAAAACACTCCTTGTACTGTGCAGCCATCTAGTGGACATGGGGTTTAATTACTGCAAATGTTTTCTGCTAGGATATTACAGTAGACAGCAATACCTTGGGAGCCTCCGGTGGCTCTTCTCAGCATCATTTCCAATGTGGCACCTGTTCCATATTCCAGGAAAATGGGCAAGTCCATTGTCCATTAAGGCTTGTGGTTGGCAAGTGCTCTGGACCTTGAAAAAGGCCACTGCTGGAGGCAATGGAGGATGGGCAAGCTGTAAGTTTCCCTGAGCTGGGGGCCTCATGTCAGTGAGGCAAGTAAAGGGCTTGTCCTGTCCAATATTCCCTCATCCTTCTTCATAGCCTCATCCCACCACCTGAGCAGCTGCTGAAGAAAAGAGAGTAAAACCACCACAGCAACCATCTAAGAAAAGACCAAGCTGGCTACAGAGGGGTGAGGGTCATTTTACTCCCCTTTCTCCATAGCCAGCTTGCTTCCCTCTGGGTGCTTTGGCAATCACTCTAGATACACACAGGTTTTGGCTATGATTCCACAGCAGTGAGGAGAGAAAACTTAGGCCCCGTTCATACGAGCCCATTAAAAGTTATAGTTACTTCTCATATTGTTGAATGTGTATGTTTGGCAGGGTGGTACACAGAGCATACAGTAGTCCCATGGCTCTTTTGGTTGCCTGTAATTGCAAATGTGTCTGTCTGCAAGACGTGGAGTGAGTACCATTGCTGTAAAGATTTTTGTGGCTGCTGTCTGGCCTGTAATTACAGTGGGAGTATTGGGGGCTCCGCTCCCTCCAAGACCCCCTGCTTCTTCCCAAAAACATTTAAAGAGATCCTTTAAATGCTTTTGAGAAGAAGTAGGGGGGATGGCATGTGACCTTCTCCCTCCCTCCTGCAAGATTTAAAGGGCCCTCCGGCTGACTGGCAGGCCACATGCTCCCTGTTGATCAGCTGAAGAAGCCTTTAAATTTTGCAGGAGGGGAGGGAGAGGGGTGCACACCACTCTCCATCATTATGGCAAATAATGGCAGCCCCATCAGAAAAAAATGTGCCTCACAAACCACAAAATCCTGGCTACGAACCTTGCTGCTGTTAACAACTGTTCTGCTACCTAGTTGAAATATTCAGTGAAACAAATGCCAACACACTTCTTGACTTCTCAGGTTTTCCAATATACCTTTGTGTGTCTCTGTGTTTGAGAAGAGAGTCTGGGAAAGTAAGAGGTGCCCTGCCCTGGAGGACCAACAAACAGGAAACAGAGGCCAAAGCCTCTCCTTACCATTTCGTCTGAGCACTGGTATTCAGAGGCTTACCGTTCCTGGATGTGCGGGCTCCTTTAAGTCACCACGACTAGTAGCCACTGATGGAAGTCTCTTCCATGAATCTTTCCAATCCCCTTTTAAAGCCATCTGTATTTCTGGCCATAACTATAACCACTGGCAGTGAATTCCAGTTCAATTACAAGTTGAGTAAAGTATTTCCTTTTCCTCCTGTGTGAAGGACCTTTGGGCAGGCTGTCTTTCCCTTAGTTCTGCACAGGTAGGTTGCGGTGGTTGGCAGGTCTGATGTATTTCTCCCATACTATGGTAAATGTGTGCATGACTACACATGTGCCTCACAATACACAGTTCACAAAGTTCCAGAGTTCAGTGGTGCAGTGATGCAACCAAAGTGTATGGTTGTGTAAACACTTCCAAAACAAGTGCGTGAAGAAGACTAATATGTTTACGCCTCTATAGAAATGATCTGAAAATCAATCATCATTGTACCTAATCCCATCTGCCTGTCATGTATGCTCATGGTTGTCTTATGAAAAGCACAAAAAGTCCACACGCCTCCTTCAAAGGATGTTCCTGTATTCGTACAGTGTAACCTCAAGCATGTTTACTCAAACAAAAATATGTACGTCTAAAATATTAGGATTAACGTGACTGTGCACATTTAGGATTGCAGCTGTGACAGTTCTACACCCCCCCCAAGGACAATCATACACCCTTTCCTTGTGAAAGGCACTAGCAAAGACTAGTAAAAAGATTTGTTATAGTTGAGAGGCACAGAGCTATTTCAAATGGGAATTAACACATACCTTCCATTTTCAAATGGTATAGTACCTTGGCATAAGAATATCATGAATTTATATTTTCTGAACAAAGCCAGAGTCTTTGCTATCCAGTGAACTAGTTCTGCATGCCAGAGGGATCTTTGGGTTGTAGTTCTTTGAATAATAACCTGCCTGAGCTCCTACCTCCTCTTTATACCACACAGCAAATGGGCCTTATGGTATCCTGCTGTTCAATGGAAACAGTAAAAAATCCTGCTTGGCATGTCTAAACTGTGGCACGGCTTGGAGTAGTTCTTTAGATTCTGACAATATCATTTACTTAATTTTTTGTTTTAAAGATCCTATCAGCATTGTGACGCTATATGTAACAGCATGTTTTTTTTTTAAGTGCATGTTACAGCATCACTTACCTTGGAACCACATATTGTCAGCATTTTAAAGCTTCATTTGTCCCATAGAGAAATAATGTAAGTTGTTAGCATATTTCCTGGGATACAAACTCAGGATCATATTAACAATTCAGCATCAACTCTGATCCTATGACTGTTTAAACAGAAACAAGTCTTATAGATTTGAAAGGGACTTACTGTCAATACCTGTTCATAGGATTACAGTTTAAATATCCCTTAAACTCCCTGTTATACTCACAGGTATTGCTCACCCCATCATACAAAAGGCGGCTTGGATTTTAAGGGATCCTGTGTTCAAGCCACAGGTGTTGGCAGTTCCACTGAAGATGAGCTCCAGATTTTTAAGAAATTCAAAGACGCATATGACATTGCTTTATACCACGTCAGGTCATTCATTTTCCTGTCCAGGTTAGAAAAGCTTGGACAAATGAAGTTGGCTGCGACTTGAAGGCAAAAAGAGAACAGGAAACGACATCCGTCCACGTGTATACAACATTACTTGTCTATTTCTATGCTACCTTTTGACCACATCTACTCATAATTTTATATAATATAAACTGCATTTATATAACACATTTACATTTATAAGGCTAAGATATCGAGATCTAATCTATTATCTATAAAGCTAACTTCCTCTCCTCCGCCTCAAAACTCCGAATTTAGGCATTGGTCCCCGCCGACTACGAACGTTTACCCAGAACGTGCTCAAAGCATTAATCTAAAAATAAATGTGCATAGAATTGCGGTGGCCCGCCCTTCTCGGTCCTCTATCTTTTCTTGGATCCAAGTCCCATTCAGTTGAGTAGAGCTTCCTCTCTCGCAAACGTACGCAGGATTATAGCGATGATCCCAGGAGCTCCGTCGAGGGGTAGCGCCCGAGAAAACCTGAACTCCGCAGCTCCCCGGTGAAGGGGCGGAGCGACGGCAAACTGGGCCGGAGCCGGAAACGCGGAGAGAGTGGTCGGGCTGTGTAAGGAGTCGGATGGCGCTTGCTCCGTTGCAGGTTGGTGCTTTGTTTGTTCCGCCGAGCCCTGCGTTGATCCAAAGGCTGTGAATGGATAACTGCTCCTTGGAGGAACGGGAGGGGGGCTCGGAGCTGCGAGCAGCCAAATTCTGCCTGGAGTAAGAGAGGGAAGTTGGGAAGAGGAGGACTGTTCTCATTCCGGCAGAAATGCTCGTCCCGCGGGGGAAGGAAATTTCTGAGGCTGTTCCAGAAAACTTTGTAGATGGCTGTATGAGGGGAAAAAAAAGAACACTGCAGTGGGACTTCGCGGATTTGTTTAAAGCCAGAGTTCAGCATTGGGACCTTTTACGGTTCGGATCGCAAATACATCTTAAAGGATAAAGCGTCAGAGAGCGTGCAAAAAAAAAAAAGGGGGGGGGGAGAGATTCCTGTGCCAGTATTGTGGATTCGTTGTGCCATTAATTAATTCATTGCTGATTTTCGGGATTGTTTAGGTACAAGAATGTTGAGTTCTGGGGTACATCTTAAATGCTTCAGAGATTTACCATTACATTGTGGTGAGTTTTATGCTCCTTTGAGAAGCTCGGGGTATTACACATGATCCCCCCCCTCCTTTGTTTTATCCTCACAACAACCCAGTGGAGTAAAATGAGGCTGGGAGGGGGCTAACAGGCCTTGCATGCCACAGTAGGGATTTGAACCCAGGTCTACCCAGAATGTTAATCACATCATGGTTGTCCATCATAATTACCCCCACAGTGCCTGGTCTGCCCTACTGATTTTAAACTAATTCTGCCATTTGTGTGCAGCTAAATTTCAACAAGCGTGAAGGGGAGTAAGGAAGACCCTTCAGTATTGACTTCACCCACTGAATTACTTCCATAGAGAAAAAGAAAAAGGCTTTTTAACACCTAGCACCTATCATCTGATTGTGCAAAAAGGGGGAAGGCTTTTGTGGCTTAGTCCCATTGCTTGTGTGTTACCATCCTAAGTATGGGAGGAAACTGCAGAGCTGTATAAGCAGATAACTTCTGATATGCATGAAGGGGGCCTCTGCCAAAGCCTTCCTTGCTCTTCAGCCTAGCAAGCAAATGATAAAGCAGTATTTTACTTGGCTTGCACCGGAGAAAGAGACTGAGGGGTTTTTGGGATTGAGAAGCTCCTAGAAGGCCTGGGGCGTTACCTTTGCCTGTGGTTTGCTGAATATGAAATGGCGGGCAATTCTGAACCAAACCATAGAGAATATGATCAATAGATACACAAAATGGAGTTAGAAACAGATGGGGGGATTTCCCCTTAAACCTGAAGGAAGTCTCAGGCTTGTCAAAAAGTCTCAAAAAAACCCAAAATTTAAAATTGTAGGATTAAAATTCTCCAAAATACCAGAAACAACCCCTGTAGCAACTGGGCCAGACTTTTCCTGGGGAGAGGCTGCCAGTAATGGAAAGAAGGGAGGAAAGCTGAGGAGGAAGGTCGATAAAGATAAGAATGTAAGAGAAGCCTTGCTGGATCAGACTTCCATCCAGTCCGATACTCTTGTGTCACTCAGTGGCCAAAACCAGCGTTCCCTCTAAACTGAATTAGTGTGAGCTAGCTCACAGCTTTTTAGCCTCTGGCTCACACATTTTTGCCTTAGCTCAGGAAGGATGGCTCCAGAGCAAACTAATTTATGCAGTAGCCAAATTGCTCGCTCACAGCTTTAATGCCAGTAGCTCACAAAGTAGAATTTTTGCTCACAAGACTCCACAGCTTAGAGGGGGTATTGGCCAAAACCCAGGTGCCATCAGGAGGTCCACCAGCAGGGCCACATCTCCAGAAGCCCTCCCGCTGTTGCCCCTCAGGCACCAAGAATCGATAGCATCACTGCCCCAGACATAGTGTTCCATCTATACCTTGTGGCTAATAGCCACGGGTGGACCTCTGCTCCATATGTTTATCCAGTCCCCTCTTGAAGCTGTCTCTGCTTGTAGCCACCACCATTTCCTGTGGCAGTGAATTCCACGTGTTAATTACTCTGGGTGAAGAAGTACTTCCTTTTATCTGTTCTAAACCTACTGCTCATTAATTTCATTGAGTGCCCATGACTTCTTGTATTGTGAAAAAGAGAGAAAAATATATCTTTCTCTGCCTTATCTATCCCATGCATAATTTTGTAAACCTCTATCATGTCACCCTTCAATCATCGTTTCTCCATGCTAAAGAGCCCTAACATCTTTACCTTTTCTTCATAGGGAAGAAGTTCCATCCCCTTAATCATTGTAGTTGCCCTTTTCTAGTGCTATAATACCTTTTTTGCGGTGTGGTGACCAGAACTAAACGCAGTATTCCAAATGAGGCTGCAAAATAGATTTATACAGGGGCATTATGATACTGGCTGATTTCTTTTCAATTCTCTTCCTAATAATCCCTAGCATAGCATTTCCCTTTTTTATTGCAGTTGCACACTGAGTTGATATCTTCAGTGAATTAGGTAACACAACTCCAAGGTCTGTCTCTTGGTCAGTTACCGCCAGTTTGGACCCCATCAATTTATATTTATAGTTAGGATTTATGACTCCAATGTGCATTAATTTGCACTCGCCCACATTGAACCTCATTTGCCATGTTGACGCCCACTCGCCCAGTCTCAACAGTTCCCTCTGGAGCGCCTCATAGTCCTCCCTGGTTTTCACCACCCTGAACAACTTAGTGTCATCTGCAGACTTAGTCACCTCACTGCTTACTGCCAACTCCAAATCATTAATAAACAAGCTAAAAAGCACTTAACCTAGTACCGAGCCCTGCGGTACCCCACTGGTTACCACCTTCTATTGTGAAAACTGCCCATTTATACTCACTCTCTGTTTCCTGTTAATTAACCAGTTTTTAGCCCACAAGAGGACTTGTTCTCTTATCCCATGACTGCTGAGTTTACTTTGGAGATGAGTAACTTTATCAAAAGCTTTCTGGAAGTGTAGGTTAACAACATCTACTGGGTCACCCTTGTCCACATGTTTATTCACCACCTCAAAGATCTCTAAAAGGCTAGTGAGACAAGATCTTCCCTTACAGAATCCATGCTGATACTTTCTTGATAGCCTTTGTTCCAGTTTGGTGTAGTGGTTAAGAGTGGCCGACTCAAATCTGGAGAACCGGGTTTGATTCCCCACTCTTCCACGTGCAGCTGCTGGGTGACCTTGGGTAAGCCACAGTTCTCTCAGGAGCAGTTCTCTCAGAGCTCTCTTAGCCCCACCTACCTCACTGGGTGTCTTTTGTGGGGAGAGGAAGGGAAGGAGATTGTAAGCCGCTCTGAGTGAAGGGCAGGGTAGAAATCCAATCTCTTCTCTTCTCTCTCTTCTTCATCAATGTGCCTACTAATCCTATCTTTAATAATGGATTCCACCAACTTACCTGGTATCGATGCTAGACTGGCTGGCCTGTAATTTCCTGGATCTCCTCTGGAACCTTTTTTGAAGATGGGGGTTACATTAGCTGCCTTCCAGTCCTCGGGAATGAAGGAAGATTTTAGTGACTGCCTGTTTTTGTCAGGAGATCCACAAATTCACATTTGGGTTTTTCAGAACTCTTGGATGTATGTCATCTTGACCTGGAGATTTGTCAGTTTGTAATTTGTCTATCCGTTGCAGGACCTCCACTTTTATCACCTAACTCCAACTCAGGTCTGTCGACACCCTCCTGAAATTGGTGGTTCTGGAGTGGACAAGCACCTCCCATCTTCCACAGTGAAGACAGAGGCAAAAAAGCACTCAGCTTCTCTGCCATTTCCCTATCACCCTTTAGTAATCCTTTTACCCCTTGGTTATCTAAGGGCCCCACTACCACCCTGGCTGGTTTTCTGCTGCTAATGTATTTGAAGAAATTTTTATTATTGGTCCTTATGTTTTTTGCAATATGTTCCTCATAGTCCCTCTTTGCATTTTATTTGCCAAAGCCTTTTATTTACCTCACTTGAACTAGCCTTCCACTGCTAAAGGAATCCTTCTTACCTTTTTTTGCGTCCATGACTTTGTTCGTTAATCACACAGGCCTTTTTAAATACCTATTTGTACTTTTCCTAACCTGTGGTGTACATTGTATATGAGCTTCCAGTATTGTAGTTTTAAATAGTACCCAAGCTTCCCAAAGCTGCCCTGTTTACATAAATGCTAAACTTATGGTCACTGTTCCCAACTAGTGCTCTCACCAGGTCTTTAGCATTATTTAGGACCAAGTCCAGGATTGCCTCCCCCTGGTAGGTTCTGTGACCATCTGCTACATGGCACAGTCATTGAGAGTATCTGGAAACCCAGTCTCTTTCTCCTGACTTGAACACATATTGACCCAATCACTCGGGACAATCAGGTGCTGAGCAGTGTAACCGATTGTTAATTGATGGGAACCGGACAATTACCGAAACTGTGGCAAAATTTTGGGTAGCATGCTACTGCATCCGAAATACATGATCAAATATATAATAATAGTTGCCTAATAGTCTCTGTTTTATGTTGTTCTTTTACTTTATTACGCTCAACTGTATTTTTATAGAGTTTTATTTTACTGTCCTAAATTCAGTTATATGAATGTTATATTTAAGCATGTGTGTTCTATGGTTTGTTGCCGTAATAAATGCCTGACTGACTGACTGACCCAATCACTCTACGTCATTATTATGACACAGTTATTTCATCTAGCTGTTTTTCCTAATTCTTTTGCTATTTTAAAATCATCCTCTAATCCTTGATCTGGTGGGCGATAACAAACTCCCAGAGTTAAGCTTCCTTTTTGGCCCTCTCTTTCCACCCATTGCATTTCTATAAGCAAATCTATTTCTGTTCGATTCTCAGTTTTACTGGACTGTATACTCTCTCTGACATACAGAGCCATTACACCTCTGACTGTTCCCTCCCCATGCCTCCAATATAATTTATATCCAGGAATCACTGTATCCCACTGATTATTGTCATCCCACCAAGTTTCTGAAATGGCCACAATGTCTATGTTCTCTGACACTAAGTACTCCAGCTCCCCCATTTTACTTTGGTCCCCACTGTGGAGAAAGACTGTAATTTTCCTAGGTAGAGGCTGTGGGGGAGGGATAGGTGGAGACAGAAAGCTGAAGATAGAGAGGCAGATAAAGGTAGGTTGGCTGTTGGGTGGGAAGGAAATATGGTTGCCAACTCCAGGTTGGGAAATTCCTGCACATTTGAGAGGTAGAGCCTAGGGAGGGTGGGATTTGAGGAAGGTAGGAAGTACAGGCTGGTATAATGACAGACTCCACTTTCCAAACCAGCAACTTCCTCCATGAGAACTACCATTGCCAGTCTCCAGGTGAGGGCTGGAAATCACCCAGAATTACAACTGTTGTCCAGGTGACGGAGATCAGTTACCCTGGATAAAATGGCTGCTCTGGAGGGTTGCGTCTATGGCATTATAACCTGCTGAGGCTGCTTGCCTCCCCAAGCCTCACTGTCCCAAGGCTTCACCCCCCAAATCTCCAGGAATTTCCCAACTGGGAGCTGGCAGCCCTAAGATGAATTGATCTCTGTAGCTGAGAGATCCATTGTGATTCCCAGACCGCTGCCATTGCTGCTGTGGGCGGGGGAGAACCAAAAATAGAACAAACAGTGAAGGAAAGAAGATATAAAATAATAGTATTATTAAGCTCTTGTCGAAATTAATCAACATCAAAATGGAATAATTCTACAATGAGCATGTGGGAGCATAATATCCAAATAATTCAATGAAAATCCATATTTTATCTACAAGACATACACAAAGTATGATTTCACAAATATTTGATGAGGATGATTACATAAGAAGATTTCAATGATCAGGTTTCAAAAGAAAACTCTTCTAATAAGGGTGCTAGCTTATCTCAGGGGTGGCCAAACTGCAGCTCGGGAGCCACATGTGGCTCTTTCACACAGTCTCTGAATGTTAGTAAAAAGAAAATTTGCGTATTGTTCAATAAAAATGTGTGTGTAATATTTGTTCATGTCTTGTGGCTCTCAAAACATCTGACCTTTATTCTATGTGGCTGTTATGATAAGCAAGTTTGGCCACCCCTGGTCTCTCTCATTTCACTTTCTCAAAGTAGAACCAGTGCTGTCCTTTGCTGTGTATTAACAAACAGGAGTGCTTGATATGGAATTACCCAAACAATTCAAAAACCAGTGTTCTTTGCTGTGTATTAAAAGGATACGATATAACAAATATTAATATATGAAATTACTTGTTCCATAATTAGCAGCCAATTCCTTATCCCAGGATTTATATATATTTGACATGCTCTGTTCCTTTTGCAGAACTTGTGGGATTTGCAAAAGGGCTTTGCTCAGATTGTTCCCCTGCTGTTTCTTAGGATCCACACATATTCTGCCTGGTGAAGGTGGCTGTTACTTAAACCATTTAAAAAGTTGATCTTGGTTGGAACATCTGTTGAATCTTCTTACTTCTTGAGGATTAGGATGAAGAAACAATTTAGGAGCAGGCATTTTTGGATCCCAGTAAATAATTTTCAGATCGTCAAAAATCCCTCCCCCCCCCCCATTTCAAAGTTTCACTGAATAGCAGAAGAAGAAGCCAGTGCCAAACACAAATTCCCAGAGTCCTTCTGCTCCTTGTTCATCTTCCCTCCAGCACAACAGCTGCCCTCCCTGGCTTATGACTGAAAGCTGAATTTCTAGTGACCAGATATTACAGCTAGTATCTTAGTGTGCAGTAGTGTCCCTGCATCAGAATCTCTGTCTTGGGGAAAGAGATGCATATTTCAGTAACTGCAGATTGCCTTTTACTTTGAGCTAAAATTAGATGGGTGGAACATAATTTTTAATGAAATAAATGAAACTAAAACAACAGCAGTACAGTTATTATAACTCACCCTCTTTTATCCAGCAGGAAAAACCCAGTGGCCTTGGTTTAGATAAGCATGTGCAGAGATTTACATATCCACTAAGACTTCTTACTTTCCGTATTCAATATGCTAGAAATGTGAAGGCCTGGGGGGAAAAATGAGGAGGGAGAGGATCCTCTTTTGAATTAGATTAATTGCTGCATTTTACAAGGCTGTGTATGAACAACTCTGGCTGCTGGATCAGACTAGGAAACTGAGTAAGTAGCATCTGTTTGCAAGTGGAACTCTCTGTCCAGCTAGGAATTATATGGTTGGAAGCTTGCTCTATTAGTTATTTGGCCCCCTAACTGGATTGGTGCACCCTAATATAATATCACCAGTAGCCCATATTATTATTATTTGGTTATTTATAGACCACCTTTTTTGCTGAGACGCAAGGTGAATTACATAGTGTAAATCAAGTACAGTCAACAGGATGGGGCATCCAATGAGCAATGCACTAGGGCACTGGTTTCCAAAGTGAGCAATATCGCCCCCTGAGGGGCGCTGGAACGATCCAGGTGGGCGGTAGGAGCCTTGGGTGCAAATTTGTCAATGCATCTTTTTGTCCACTTTTTGAAGGTAGATTTCCAGAGGGGTGCTGAGTCTTTTTTTTCTGAAAAGGGGGTGGTAGACTAGAGATGTAAAATTTCCGGAAATTTTGAAGCTCGGAAAAAAAAACCCGTTTCCCCCCCCCTGTTTTTTTCAGAAAAAAAACAGAAATTTTTGGAAAAATTGAAAAAAATGCTACATTAGCACTTCTTTTGTCGTTTCTAGATTGAAAGTCATTCTGTTACTTTAGGAACATAAAATATGACTATGGACATTTTAACTTGGCATGAAATTATCACAACTAGCATATTAAAATATAGTGTATCCAAACAATTATTACAAACAGAATACCCACCCACATGCAAACACAAAACTGAAACCTTTTTATTTTCTTCTGACAATAGCACCTCCTAAAGGAAGAAATGCATCTTGGTCTTGCACTGGAGAGTTCAGTTTGTAACCGAGGACTTGCTTGTCCTCAGTGCACAGAAATTAGATCAATCTGATACCATATATATATATATATTAGAAATGATTTGGAAAATATTTGAACACCTTGTCTTAAAATATTTTATTCATCATAATAAAATAAAACGTTCCATAATCAATTTTTTTCTTTTCTTTTTTCAATTTTTCCAATTTTTCGGAAAAAAACAAAAAAGCTTCAGGGGAAAAAACGGGGAAAAAACATGTTTTTTTTTTCCGAATTTTTCCGGGTTTTTTCCGGACCTTCACATCTCTATGGTAGACCAATAAGTTTGGGAACCTATGCACTAGGGTTTGGACTACAGAAATCTGGAAACAAAACAGAAATCTCAAACAGAGTTGAAACAAAGCATAGGCTGTTAAACATGGATACATTCAGAGGTGTTGAACTCATTTGTTACAAGGGCCAGATCTGACTTAAACTCACTTTGTCAGGCAGGGCCATGTGTGCCATAAAATGTAATGCCAGGTACCGGAGATTTAAACTGTATAAAGGACAGCAGCTGGTAAGCTCCGAGTTGGTGTATCCTCACTGCAAGGCTCCTTGGGCTGGGGAGGGAGGTGCAAAGGAAAACCCATATGGGCGAACTGGAGAGCCAGGGGTGCAGCACTGGGAAGACACTCCCACTTTGCTTGACTGCTGCAGATGAGGTTGTTCTGCCATGCTCTGCTCTGCCCACTTCCCCGAACAGTCTCCTGTTCCCTCCCTTGGCACTAGTTGCTCATGGAGCCCTGGATGGGCCAGTTCTACCTCCCGGGCCTTATGTTTGACATGCATGCATTAGGTAGTGTAAAAACTACCTAGTCTGGAGCTTACTTACAGTGTTAGGTAGCAATACAGCAGTGTAGATCCCAATCCCTATCCCATTACCAATGCAACTTTAAGAGCATTTCATTACAGTACAGTTCTGTTTATGTGTGCCAAAAGCCCTCTTGAATAATTCCATTTTGCATAGTTTGCAGAAAGCCCAGGAGAGTGGGAGCCTTCCTAACCTTGTCAGGGAGGCCATCCCAATAGGCGGGGGCCACAACAAAGAATGCAGATGTATGGGCATTTATTGATTTTGTCCATTTTCAGGATGGTTCTTGCAGAAGGCCCTGCTGGGATGAGCGAAGTTTGTGTGGTGGAGCACAGGGAGAGAGCCAGTCCTGCAGATAAGAGGAATGAAGGCCTTGAAGGGCTTTGTATGTGATAGTCAGTGCCTTGAATTGAGCCCAGTAACAAATGGACAACCAATGGAATGACTGCAGAATGGGAGTGATGTGCATGTTCCACCCAGCTCCTGATGATAACCTAGCTGCAGCATTTTGAACTAAATGGAGTGTCTGACTAGACTTTGAGAGGAGACCTAAGTAAAGTGCATTCCAGAAGTAATACTGGATCCAGTATAACCCCAAGGCCCTTAACTGAGTCAGAGAGTATTAGCTGAACACCACTGAAAATGGGAAGCACAAGGTGCTTCAAGACATCCACCTTCCCAGCCAGCATCGCTTCTGTTTTGTCCGGGTTTAGTTTCAATTTATTTGCTTTCAGCTGTTCAATCACAGCAGTCAGGCAGCGGCTCAGGGCCTTTTTGAAAGCCTGACAACATGGATGAAAATTATATTTTTTTGTTTAGGGGTGTTATCCTGCCCTGCCCTGCCACCTCAGTACGGTTCCAGCTAAAGTGCATAATCTTCTTGTTTTCAGGTGTGTTTACTAAGATGTCGTCCTCATAGGAAGCACCGAGGCTGAGAAATGTCCTTACAATTAGAATCGCTGCCTCAATGGGAATTCTATCTTTACCTGGTTCTTTCTTTTGGCTTCCATTTTTATTCTTTCCATGAAGTATTCCTAGCCTCTCAAGGTAAGTCTCTGTTGCAGGCCCATTCATTTTAGGTACTGATTGTTTTTGGCTTTTGTAGTTTGCAGTGTATTGACTTAAATAGTACGACTTAATGGAGTACTTTCTAACAGTCTCCTGCAGGGCATCCCACAGAGGCTTTTTCCTTGAAGCTTTTGGGTACCCTTTCTTTGTGTGAATGGAAAACTGCAGAGAAGGCATATGTGAAAGGTACAAGCTGTGCACATATCCGTGAATGAAAGCGTAATTCAAAGCTTGTGCTTTAGTTGGTAAGAAATGACTAGAAGCGTAACTTGACATTTACCTTTTAACAGAAGCAGACTAAACAAATTTGAAGGTCAGCTTGCTAATAAATTTTCAAGGGAATAACTGCATATAGTTTGATTCTTTATAACCCTGTAGAATATTTTTCTTGTCTGATGGAAAAACTCTGAATGTTCATGGTTTAATATATTTGTTTAATTTGGAGTAGTGTTGTAATTGTTTTAAAACTAGGCCCAACATTTTGAATTGTAGGTAGCTAGAAACCATGACTGTCAGCTTTAATGGATTTGGTTGTTCGATTAATCACCCAAACGTTTAATTTATATATTAAAATATTTATGCCTCACCCTTCCTATAGCTCAGGTTGCCTTAAAATTCTAATAAAAAGCACAGTAAAACCCCACATAACTCCCCCCATTAGAAATCCTGACAAATCGAGTAGCCTTGTGCCACCCCCTAAACACTGCTGGAGGTGGCTTCCCCCTCACCTCCCCAGGGTACCTGTTCCATATTTTGGGTGGTAGGATGGAAAAGGCGTGGGCTGTAGTTGATTCCTGGAGCATTACCACACGTAGAGGAACAACTAGCAGATGTCAACCTGAGGATCACAACCTGAGACTGATTAACCTGCAGGGGGCAGTCTTAACTGATAGGCCTCTGAGTGAAATGTGTACTTGTTTTAGATTTTTGCTCTAGTACATTATTTTAGTATTTGTTATTATTATAAAGGACGTCAGTTCCTTTGAAGAGTGGGATAAGTAATCTAATGCTGTCCCTCAAAAGACACCTGTTCAGAGGCATTAATATACACATTTACCTTGGTCCATGGAGTTGATCAATCAACTAAAACATTCTTGAACTGCAATCTGTGCAGGCATTCCAAAATGCTCACCTGTCCTGATAGTGGTTTCTCTCTCTTTGTGGCTCTGAGGTGCCTGAGAATTCCAACTACTGATCAACCAATCAGAGCTCAAAGGTGCTGTTGCAACCGTTTTTTCCTTGTCACCTTGATTGACAGTTGCATAATCCTGTTAAGTAATCTAAAGGTTGAAACAGGATGCTTGCAATCTGCTTCCCAACCAGATCAAATTGTATCATAAAAACATACAAGCCATCTTACCTGAGACTTCACCACTTTGTGAGAAACAGTCTGTTTTAATGCAGTGGACTATGGTTGTTCAATAGCGTTTTGTATCCAGCATGTTGGGGGACAAGAGGGTTCTGCTGCTGCTGCTCTCAGAATAAAATGCAACAGCTTCATGTAATTTATTGACTGTAAACTGTTCTCATCAAGTTACTCAGTGGGATCTTGCATGATTCAGTTTTCTGCAAAGGCAATATGCAATATAAGCTATGCTCTTTTAATTGCTTTTTTGCTTACTTTACCAAAAACTTTGGGGAGGGGGGGAAGCAAGATTGTTAAGGGGCATAATGTTCCCCTTTAGTCCTTTCAACTCCTTACCCACTTTTTTTCTTAGCCAAAGGTGTCTGATACCACTCTTTCCGAGAAAGTGTGCAGCAGTACAAAGTACATTCATTGTCTATCACTTGTGTTTTTGATAGTCAGCTTTCCGTGAACTTGTATAGTTCTTTTTTGAACACGATGATCCAGGAGTTGGTTTCAATAATATCTTTCCGCTTAGGAATCTCTTGTTGGAAGAAAGAGACATTCCTCCAGTGGAAGAGCCTTCACTTAGTGGAAGGGAACCGAAAGATCCAATTCAGTCTAAATAAATTGCGTAGACGGGTTGATGCATGTGTAAATATATATGTGTGTGTGTATGCGTATCTACATATCTATCTATATCTCACACGCATATATATATCACATTCTAGCTGTATCTGAAGAAGTGAGCAGTGCCAGTGTTCCCTCTAAGCTGAGTTAGTGTGAGCTAGCTCACACTAACTCAGCTTAGAGGGAACATTGGCAGTGACTCACAAAAGCTCATACCCTTCCAATTTTTGGGGGTTAATCCTTAAGGTGCTACTGGACTCTTACTCTTTTACACACACACACACACACACACCAGAATTGGCTGGGGAAGGATCTTTATCCCTTTAGCATATTCCCTCATCTCACACTTTATCAGATATCTGGGTTTTCCTGGTTATTGTTTTAGATTTATTGTGTATCTAGGTCTCTCCCCTCCCTGTGTTTTTATCATGGGTGTTTTTCTGATCCTCAAACTGTGTGCCTGTGAAAGCCTGGTAGAGCTTTTGAAGAGTGCTTTCATGGCATTCTGACGTGGGAGGGTAAGCCTCAACTCCTTCATCTTCATGGACATACACAGCCAAACATCCTCCCCTTCATTTGCTCATATAATGCATTCCAAATGGAAGTCATATGCACATAAGCTTGATTTACTAAACTTTTCTTTCCTTTGCTGTTTTTTAAAAAGCCAATCTTAGCTGAAATGTGATGGTTAAAATCAGATATGCCTGGAGTTATTTTAGCTTTGTATTATATAGCAAAACATAGTCTTCAGTTTGAGAGCCAGTTTGGTGTAGCGGTTAGGAGCGCAGACTCTAATCTGGGGAACCCGGTTTGATTCCCCACTCCTCCACATTCAGCTGCTGTGTGACCTTGGATCAGTTACAAGTTCTTTCAGAGCTGTTCTCTCGAGCACTTCTCTCAGAGCTCTCTCAGCCCCACCTTACCTCACAGGGAAGGGAAAGGAGATTGTAAGCTGCTCTGAGACTCCCTTGGGTTGTGAAGGGTGGGGTATAAATCCAGTCTGTTCTCTTCTTCTCTTCTTCATCTGTTCCAAAATAATTTATTTGGAGACATAGTTCAGCACTTCAGTTGTCAGCGTGCTGTTGAAATAAATTTCCATATCCAGTCTAGTCCAGTTACCTTTATTGGCATGTAACCCTTGCAAACCCATATACAACAAAAAACAACAACAACCACAGCATAGAATAATACTTGCAAAAAGGAATCTAAGGTGATATCCAGGGATTTAATTTTGGATTCTAGATAGGTAATCCAGTTAGAGTCATAAGATTCCAGTAGAAGCTGATAGATGTAACTAGAAGGGTCCGAATTGAAAAGAAGGCGAAGCCAATACTTAATTGTAATTAGCCATGCTTTAGTTCTCAACGTGTTCTGGCCACATTCCAGGCATAAAGCTGCATAGGGGACACACATTGGCACCCCAAAGATTTTCCTCAGGAAATAGGACTGAGGCTGTCCTATGAGATTTTCAGTTGTATTGATCCAAATAGGCACCCCATATAATAACTGGGGCCCTATTTTTAGCATTAAAGGCTTTTAAAGCAGCAGGTATATACTGGTTACCTCTTCCTGAAAAATAAAATTGGGAAATTCCTGCCGCATTTACTTTGGCCGTATTGATTGCTGTTTTTCGGTGACATACCCAAGAGGCGTTGTATTGAAAATGAACACCAAGATATTTGAAGACCATTGATTTTCCAGTCATGAAACTTCCAGGAGTTGGAAAAGACCACTAATTTGGACTTCTCATAATTTAACTCCAGGTAGTTGGCAGCACAATATTCATAGCAGCGATCAAGTAAACGCTTTAACCCCAAATGAGTCGATGACAAAAGGACTGCGTCATCAGCGGACAGCAGTAAAGATATATGCGTAGAGCCAAGTCTAGGGCTGTGTCCATCAACTGAAGACAGAAAAGGGGCAAAGTCATTAAAAAAAAGATTGAAAAGGGAAGGGGCCAAAATACAGCCCTGCTTAACCCCTTTATTTATATTGATCATTGATGTAAGTCTTCCAGAGGGAGAGCATCTAATCTGACAAGATGTAGCCATATACAATTTCCTGATAAGGAATAGTAATATCTTATCAGGAAGCAAATGATCACGTTTCCTCCAGAGTAAGTTCCTCGAAACAGAGTCAAAGACCCCTTTAAAGTCCAGAAAGGCAGCCTAAAGCTTAGCCTTTCTTCTTTTTGTATATTTATTTATCAAGTGAGAGAGGAGGGTACAGTGATCAAGAGGCGATTTCCCCTGGCTGAACCCTATTTGCTCAGGACCAAGGATCTTAGAAGATGAGGTCCAGTTAAGGAGCTTTAGTTGTAAGAAGTTGGCATATAATTTCCCTATTACAGAAAGTAAACTTATTGGCCTATAGTTGGAAGGGTTATGTAGTGGTCCCTTCTTATAAATGGGCACAATAATGGCATTGGTAGGTATCTGACCCGTTTTATTTATCACTGTAAAAAGGGAGGCCAAGGGGGAGGCCCACCAGTCTGCATCAGCTTTCAAGATTTCTGGAATAAAATTTCCATATCATATTTTTTCCACAAGAGGGAGCTAGCAAAGCAGCCTTCAGAAACGTTGAAAACTGTAACCAGTATATGACTAGATAACTGAACCAGAGCAGAACTTTTCACACTATGGGATCCAAGGAGATAAGATGGGGTAGAAATGTTTTAAATAATATAAATATTTTTGTTCTAGGATTGTTAGTGTCATAATGTACCGTATTTAGAGAACTTAAAAGTACCCTATATAGCAAGCTAGCAAGATTAAATGTTCTTCCATAAAACTCAACAGTTTTGTGTTCAAAATGTACACATTTGAGCACTCAATAACTAGGGTCATTTTATCTTTATTTTTAGGAATGGGCTGAATTCAAGATTAGAGTCTTGGCTGATTGCCCATCCAAAACCTACCACAAACTTACACTTTAGTATTTTAATACCAGTTCTGAGTCCAATGGCACCTTTAAGACCAACAAAGTTTTGTTCACAGTATAAGCTTCCACACAAAAGCTTGTACCATGAATAAAACTTTGTTGGTCTTAACGGTGCCACTGGACTCAAACTTTGTTCTGCTGCTTCAGACCAACACTGCTACCCCACCTGAATCTAATACCAGTTCTATGAAAGGCAGACTGGGTGCTGAAGTTTCCTTGGCTGTTTTGCCATTTGAGAAATTACTGTGCATGTAGAGTAATGTCAGACCTCGCTGTAGGAGATTTCATGAGACTGACTGGACATTTGCAGAATCCATAATCCAGGTCAGTGCCTGTTGTCAGGTAATCTTTAACTGAATGCAGTAGATAAGTCATCAAACAGATTTGTCCAGGATGGCAGGACTGTATTGGAGCAAATCTAGTCCCATGTGACATGAATAGTGTCATATAAGCAAAGAGGAACCAGCATGATGTAGTGGTTAAGAGTGGCAGACTCTAGTCTGGAGAACCGGGTTCGATTCCCTGCTCCTCCACAGGAAGCGAAGCCTGCTCTCAGTCCCACCTACCTCACAAGGTGCCTGTTGTGGGGAGAGGAAGGCAAGGCAATTGTAAGCCACTCTGAAAAAGAAAGAGATTGGATTTATACCCTGCTCTTCGCTACCCAAAGGAGTCTCAGAGTGGTTTACAGTCTCCTTTCCCTTCCCCTCCCTACAACAGACACCCTGTGAGGTAGCTGGGGCTCAGAGAGCTCTCTTGAGAACTGCCCTTGAGAGCTCTGAAAGAACTTATGACTGACCCGAGGTCACACCAGCAGCTGCACGTGGAGGAGTGGGGAATCAAACCCGTATCTCCCAAATTAGAGTCTGCACTTTTAACCACTACACCAAACTGGCTCTCCAGTTTGGCTCTTCAGTTGAGACTCCTTAAGGGAGGGGAACACGGGGTATAAAAATCAACCCTCTTTCTCCTTCTCCTCTTCTCCTCTTCCTCTTCTCCTCCTCCTTATGTTCAGTTCCTCCAATCTAAGTCCTTTTAAGTCAGTGATTTAGGATGGAGCAACTCTTCATCAGATTACATCACAGCCCTGTACATACAGCCCCTCCACACACTGACTGAATGTGTGTGGAAAGGAGACAGAAGTGTGCTAGGATTGCCTCTGCATGATCCCTGGTTTGTGAGCATGGCACCTAGATGTGGAGGCAGTGTCCTCAAGTATGTTCTCTTCCTGTGATTGGAGATGCTGGTTTGCGAATGTTGCTGGTCATAGGGAGGGAGTGTCCACATGGACGCTGCCTCTGCTTGTAGGTGCTGTGCTTGTGAGCCGGAGATCACATGGAGGTGGGGCTATACCCATTCGCCTTTTTGTTGTTGTTGTTCAATGTGTGTAGAGGTCATGTATAAGATAAAAGCCAATAAGGATCTGAGAGGGAAGAATACTTAGTAACCCAGCATGGGCAAGTTTCCTGGGAGTGAATGAGCCATTCCTGGTCTCTGTTAATATCTTTTCACACACCAACAATCCTGTGCATGAGAAAATAAGTACCACTACTAAGCCAGTAATTAAGAAGGAGATGATCAGAAACAACTCTTTAAGATTTCCCACTTTGCCCCAGTCTAGTCATGTTAAACAAGACATGTCAGCTTTGTAAAATGAAGCTATTTTAATTTTTTAACCTCTCAAATTTTCTCTGATCAGTACATTGGACAAGTGCTTTGGAAATGAATAAAAAGCTTTGAAAACATTAGAGTATTGAGAAAGATCTTCCACCACAGTGGATTAGGCGGGTGCAAGACCTTTGCAGTATTTGAAATGGTTGCTTACCATCTCCCGTCTGTGGCTGGAAAGCTGTGTCAAAGTATCTGTCGATGTTACTGAGGCAGTGTGAGTATAATAGTCCATGAAGTTATATGTTTATTAAACATAACATTTCCAGTCTAACATGTCTGGTTGATTTCTGTGAGGGCAGAGGTACTGGATCAGGAGGGTCTTTCAGATTACCAGGTAAAAAGGAAAAATTGTCAGAGAAGGCAATACTTTTCCTTGAGATTTATCTTAGGTGTCGCAAAGTGAAAGGAAAAACTCATTTTGTTGAGAAATGAATTTCTTCAGGTAGATATTATGAATCCCTTCAGAACACCAAGGGTGATAAATCACGAGTTTGACTCTTCACTCCACAAGCCCTTTTCCTCAGCTATAGTTAAAATTGTGAGCCTTAGAGGAAGTCTTTTCTTCAGTGAAGCTTTAAAATGGGATTTGACAAGTCTTTGTTAGAAACAAATTGTTGGCAAGAGTACATTTGATACCTAATGGATTATACATGAGAAAATTTTGCAAAACATTTTTCATTTCTTTGTTTAGGTATTTTCATAAGTAGTCACCTACTATGAAGGGCCAGCATTTATATTGATATATGTTTACTAAAGCGTTCAACCAAACAATTTTAATTGATTAATAATCTGCAATTAAATTAGAAGATTACCAGTATCTCAGTCCAGGTGGTTTCTATGAGATACTTAAGTGAGATAAAATTTAATATGAGATAGCAATTCAGAAACATTTGTATGAAAAGTGCACAGTTTTGTTCTTTGTATTATTGGTAGAGACTAGATAAAGTTGCCTTAAGGATCTGATCTGTTCAGTAGGCCAGTGATTAACCATCCCCAACATATACCATGAGAAATATATCTTATAATAATTCTATTTTCTGATTTGATAGAAATTAAGTATATTAGGATCACTGCATTTCTGTGTCTTGCTGTATGGTAAAACTGATAGAACATCCTGTTATTTAAACAAAATTAGAGATCAGTTAACTTCTCATACTGAATATTATCTGTTCTGGCAGAATATGAAGAGGAACTTGACCGAACATTTGATCTGGAAACTGATACAATGTTTTGGGGACTGAAAAAGGTACAGTAAATAATGTAACTATGGTATTATTTGTAGTTGAAATATTTATGGGAATTCATTTTGAATTATCATTCAGTGAACTATAATGGGCTTTGATAACTGGCTTATTGGATGAAGAAAGAACAATGTGGTCAAACTTGAGTCTGCCCCATGCTGTATTATCAGGATGACATGGTTGGACCTTTCAGTGGAGAAAGCTATAGCTAGGGCTGTCTAAAACTTTGCTGATTTGTTCATTGCGCTTGTATGTGCATGTGCAGTACAGTATAGCTTTAGGGATCAGCATCAGAGCCACTTACTGCCACCATCTGCATATGAGCTAAAATGTATTATAAAAATTAGTGTAGATTTTTCTTCTCTTTTGTGTGTGTGTGTGTACACATGCATGTGCTCAGGACTATGAAAACTCAGCGGTTTATGAACTGTTCCTTCTTTCTCCAGTCTAATAGACTGCTCTCTGCATATTCTATGTACCTTGGTCATCATATATTTAGATGACATAATAAACAAGCTTAAATTGGTGAAATAGGAAAAAGGATGAATAAAACAGCATCTCCTTTCTCCTCTTACTTCCCTATGCCACTAGTCGTCATTTTAGAACATGGATGAGGTGGCAGCCTCTTGAAAGCGTTTGACTGGAATCAGTGATGATTCTGTAGATCACTAGCTGCATTCTGAATGGTGCCCAGCTGAAAACAGAGGTCATCCCCCCCCCCCGAGCATCCACTTTCTGTCTCCTACCCAATGCGGCCATCCTCCTATACATATGGCTCTTCACAGTTCCATATCCCTCTTTCAGTCAACATTTTTCCCATTAGTATCTCCTGTCAACACTATTTCCCCTCCATTTTTATATGTAAGACAAGGTAGAAGAAGATATGAAAGGTAACAGTGACAGTTGAAAGATTCAGGTGGGTAGCCAAGTTGGTCTGAAGCAGCAGAGCAAAAATTGAGTCCAGTGGCACCTTTAAGACCATCAAAGTTTTATTCTGGCTATAAGCGTTCATGTCCACATACACTTCTTCAGATACATTGAAACAGAAATCTCCAACCATTACATATAAGTAGAGGGTATTGCCAGGAAGGGCTAATTAGAGTCAAGATGCATAAGTAACTCAGCAGTAAATATAGCTAAGAATGGATTAAGGCAACTGGTAAGACCTGTGAATAGCAGCAAATTAGCATACATCATAATAAAAGAGTTTACAAACAGATGTGAGAACTGAATGATATTAGCATCTCTGTTAAGCCCTGGGGGTTTCATTGTCCAGAGTGTTGTAATAATCACATAATAATAATGAGCATACACATGAAAGCTTATACCCAGAATAAAACTTTGTTGGTCTTAAAGGTGCTACTGGACTCACTTTTTTTCAGTGACAGTAGAAGAAATTTTTACCTGAATTTTCTCCAGTGTTTTCTGTACAAAAACAGTGGCTCTAACTATTGAGTAAGATGCAGCAAGGGTTCTGTAAGGGAAGATCTTCTCCCAATAACCTGTTAGTGTTCTTTGAGGGGGTGAAAATATATGTGGACAAAGGGGACCCTATAGATGTTGTTTACCTTGACTTGCGGAAAGTTCCTCATCAAAGGCTCCTAAGTAAGCTCAATAGTAATGGGATAAAAGGACAAGTCCTTTTGTGGATCAAAAACTGGCTAATTAATAGGAAAAAGAGAGTGAGTATAAATGGGCAATTTTCTCAGTGGAGGGTGGGAAGCAGTGGGGTACCACAGGGATCAGTACTCGGTCCGATGCTTTTTACCTTGTTTATTAATGATTTGGAGTTGGGAGAAAGCAGTGAAGTGGCTAAATTTGCAGATGACATGAAGTTGTTCAGGGTGGTGAGAACCAGGGAGAATTGTGAGGCACTCCAAAGGGATCTGTCGAGGATGGGTGAGTGGGCGTCAATGTGGCAAATGGGGTTCAATGTATCCAAGTGCAAAGTGATGCACATTGGAGCCAAAAATCCTAACTACAAATGCACGTTGAAAGAAGTACTTTTCTCCCTTTCTCATAATACAAGAACTCGTGGGCACTCAATGAAATTGCTGAGCAGTTGGGTTAGAACAGACAAAAGGAAGTACTTCTCCACCCAAAGAGTGATTAACACATGGAATTCATTGCCACAGGAGGTGGTGGCAGCTACAAGTATGGATGGCTTCACGAGGGAATTAGATAAACATATGAAGCAGAGGTCCATCAGTGGTTATTAGCCACAAGCTATAGATAGGAACTCTCAGTCTGGGGCAAGTGATGCAATGTATTCTTGATGCTTGGGAGGGCAACAGTGAGAGGGATTCTAGTGTCCTGGCCCCACTGCTGGCCCTCCTGATGGCACCTGGTATTTTTGGCCACTGTGTGACAGCGTGTTGGACTGGATGGGCCATTGGCCTGATCCAACATTGACTTATCTTATGTTCTCTTTTTTGTTCCTGTTCTTAACAGTGTGTTTTCATGAGACATATCACTGAATTTTCACCTAGATCAAAATACAGCAAATTTGGTGGGGTTTCACTTATTGAGAACCATCTGTAGATCTTTGAGAGGAGCAAATAGAGTTTCTGGTGTCATTCCTCACCAGGGATGGGGGGTGAAAAGAAGCAGTGTTCCTATGCATTGCAAGATCACCAGATTTTGCTTGGAGTGAAATAGAGTAGCATCAGGAGATGAGTCTGTGGCCTGCTTTTGAAGAATGGATCTAGAGCTCTTTAGCGAGGATATTCGTATTCTAATGAGAGATCCATCTGTTCTGGATTTCTCTTATTCTTGGAAACTGGATGATCTGAGGACCACATAAGAGAAGTTTAGCCCCGTGTCATCCAAATACTTCAAAACAAGATTCTTGAATTATTTGCCCACACCTTACACTGGAGTTATTTTGTATGCATTTTACATGTGATATAAAATGTTTATGAACAATTGCAGGAATCTTTGGTATTTTAGTTAGAACTAGAAGCATATAGCCAAAGATTTAGGGCATTAATTCAAATCAATATGTGAAAGTCATTCTATATTTCTGAAGCTTCTGCGCATTTATATTTCTCCTCCCTGCCCTTTCTTTGTCTAATTTCTGTACCATCCCAAGACTGGCTGTCTCCTCTTCCCATTTTTCTGCTTTTCCAGACCACCTTTACCAGATCTCCTGTTGACCATGGCATGCTGCTTTCTCAAGCCTTTGTTTGTTCTTTTTCTGGGCCTTGCTTGGGACGATACTACCTGCCCTGCTTCTTCCTAGTTTTTGAATAGCTTGGTCAGTACCAGAGAGAGAGTCTTAGTATAAGAGCAACTCAGCCAATGGCAAGGAGTGACCCTTAGCAACAGAGCATCCACTAGTTCTTTTGATTACCTGGAGTGATAGCGCTAGACATAAACGATTCCTCATCACCACTGTACCCTCCTCCTCCTCCATTGCCACCAAGTGCCTTAGCACATTATGATAAAGATGTTAATTAAACATCTTTAAGAAATTGGATGTTCCTTCTCTTTAGTGATTTCACAAGGGCGACGGGCATGGGGGGGGGAGTACAGAGCTGTGTTGTGTTAAAACTTGTGTGATGACTTTAACATACTTTATGGTAAAGCAAAAATTAATCCCTTTGTACATATTTGAAATCAATGCCACGCTTCTCACAGTATGAATTCATTCCCAGAGACAGTGATAGCTGTCTGCTTTCTGTTCTAATTTGGATATTCCTTTTGATCAACATAGTGCAAAGGATATATTGTTGGCAGTCTTCCTGAAAATATCTCCTGCAAGCAAATGCTGCCAATCAGACAATGATAAAAAAAATGTTGGAGAAGAGAGTGCCGTTACATTTATTTATTACTTCTATATACAATCGGTACAATGCATAAATGATACTCAGTGGCTCAGGAGGCACTTGTGGCTCTTCTGAGCACTGGTCACCATTTAGGGGTGCCGGCTGTTGCTGGCAGCCCCTGAGAGTTTATAAGAAAAGGGCAGGAGTGATGTCAAAGTGTGTGACACCATGATGTTACTTTTTGTTATGTGCTTAGAAGTGGTAATGTTGTGATACTCTAGGAATTTACCAATCTCTATGGTAAACAATGTCTCTCCCCCCCCCTTTATTTTTGCTGCGGCTGCTCTAGTGAGTGGCAGCGGGATCCCTGGCCACCCTATCCCCAATGTTAGCACCTGCCTCATATTTCTGGAAAATGCACAATGTCCTTGTCTGGTGGGGCTTGTTGTTGGCAGGTGGATTCCACCTCAAAAGTGCTGCAGTTGGAGGTGCAGGGAAGCTGTGAGCCTCTCTGAGGTGCAGGCCTCATGCTAGCAATGGAAGTAAACGTGGCTTTTTTACATGCACACATGAAGCTGCCATATCCTGAATCAGACTATCTGTCCACTAAGGTCAATATTGTCCACTCAGACTGGTGGCAGCTCTTCAGAGTTTCAGGATGAGGTCTTTCACCATCACCTACTGCCTGGTACTTTCAACGGGAGATGCCAGGGATTGAATGTGGAACCTAATGCATACCAAGCAGGTGCTCTTCCACTGAGCTACAGCCCCTCCTTTTCATTGAAGATAATTGTGAATGTGGCTCTTTTTGAGCCACAGAGTGAGTACTACTGAATTAAATATTTCTAGCTTTCCTTTCTCTAGAGAAAAAATGGGACTTAAAGGTGGGTAAAATAAACTAAAATAATAAATTCTCAAGAATAAAATCTCAATATAAGCACGTTTCCCTGATATGCTAATCATTGTCCAGCTGTAAAACTCTTCTTGATAGCTCAGCTTTGCTGAACTTCCTAAAAATTGGATGGGTAGCTTATTGATGAAACTGTCTTTGGAAACCTGTACTGTGTAATTGGGCCTGCCACAGAAAAGGCCCAGGATAGTACTGTGGCCTAGTTTACTTGTAGGGTTGCCAGCCTCCAGGTGGGGCCTGGGGATCTCCCGCTTTTACAACTGATCCCCGGCCGACAGAGATTAGCTCCCCTGGAGAAAATGGATGCTTTGAAGGGTGGACTCTATGGCATTGTATTATGTTGAGGCCCCTCTCCTCCCCAAACCACGCCCTCTCCTGGCTCCACCCCCAAAGTCTCCAGGTATTTTCCAACCTAGACTTGGCAACCCTATTTACTTGCCCAACAGAAAGAACTGATAGGAAGAACTACTGAGACTTGGAGTTGCTGCATAGGTTCATACCAGGAGAGACAGTTAAGAATGTAGGTCCCAGGCTAAGGACTTTAAAGTTAGTAAGCAGCAGTTTAAACTGAATTTGGAAACACAAAACAACTGCTGCAGCAGGCTCGTAGCTACAGTGGGGCATCGTGGGGCTAGGCCTCCTGACTTACAAGCAAGGCCTCCTGACTTCCCATCCAGCCCAGGGCCCCCGAGTGGCAGCAGGTGTGGGGAAAGAGCCAGGTATTCCTTTAATTCGATTAGCCAGTGCCCCCTAAGAAATTTAAATGCCCCCTGACTTTAAAAATCCTGGCTACAGGCCTGTGCTACAATGATCTTGATATGGGAGCCAAGTGCAACTAGCTCCAAACAATAGTCAAGCCACCATATTCGAGATCAGTTCAAGTTTCCAGTTTGTCTTCAAGGACAGCCCCCCTCCCCATTCGGCATGTTACATTAGTCCAGCCTTGAGGTTACCATAGCTTGGATTACTATGACCGGCTGAATCTAAAAAGGGAGATAACTTACTTGCAAAATGCGACTGGAATAAAGCTCTTTTGTCATTATAGGTGCCTATTTTTCTATAACTTTCAAAACTTTGATGAAATTAATCAAAGCAAGACTTACCTCTTCTAAAGAGAGTAGTGTAATACCCTACAATGTAGCAGCTTTCTTTCTTTCTTTCTTTCTTTCTTTCTTTCTTTCTTTCTTTCTTTCTTTCTTTCTTTCTTTCTTTCTTTCTATATATATTTACAGCTAAGCTGAGAGAGATCTCACTCCATCTACACGTGTTTCTTTGTACTGATTGTGTGTTATTTGTGTGTTATTAAAAAACAACAACACCATCCTCAAAACTTTTTAAAGAGTGGCGTTATGTAGCCTTTAAAAATAAATTTGAAAAACCAGAAAAAAATAACATGGTGGATTAGAAGGCTTTGAGGAAGAGGCTTGGAAAATATGCTGGTTGGGTACATTTCGTCACAGGCATGACCACTGAGCTTGAACAAAGTTATCAGTTGACAAGAAGGATCGGGAGCTTTGTGGAAAACCCTTTGAGCAACAGAATTCTAACAGGAAGCATCTATTTTGCTGTCAAACAAAGCTAAATGTATCTATTTTGGTAATCAATATTTCTCTATACATGTAAATCACTGGAAGAAAATATTCCATGTTGTGGCAACTGCTGAAAATTGGGCCATCTTTCTTTGACTAATGTATACAGTCTTGTGTGCAGGGACTTCAACCAAGTATTGTATGTTGTGCTACCAGTTATATTGTTGTATATTATTGCTAAGATGGCCTTTAGGTCAGCTCCCAGAGCTTCTAGCAAAAGAGGCTTAGAACTAGAGATGGCTTGGTTGGAACCTATTAATGTATCATCATATTTGTTTCATAATAATTCTGGCTTTCTTTTTAGTTCAGGAATGAGGAGCAAATATTACACGTAAATTTTACTTACAGTCTTTTCCTCCAGTATGCTTCCAAGTTTCATATCAGTTTTATGAATGGATTCAATCTATGCCTAGGATCCCATGGACTTTGAATGGACCTTTTGGATGGAGTGGGGCAGAGGATATATACTATGGCTTCTTTTTTGTCATTTAATTGTGTCACAGATATCCAATCTTTACATGAAAAAGGTATGTCATTTAAGGTACATTTGTTTTTCCATAATTGTTCCCACTTTGTTTATGTATGGGAATTGCATTGGGCCCCCGTGTGGGGAGAAAGGAAGACAACAATGGCTTACTTTTAAGAATGCCAGTTGTTTAAATATTTTTTCTATTAGATTTGTACCTGTTTTCCCCTAAGGTGTGCAGTGTGTTTTAACCTGGGAACAAAAAATGAAGGCTAACAAATGAAGGCTCAAAAATGGCTGAGGAATCGTGGTTTTCCCAGGCATCATTAAAAAGCTGGAACAAAATGATGTGGCATACATGTGGCTGCTAAAAATTGTTCTGTGTCTTCTTTCTGATAATGTCTAGTCAAACAAAACCTGAATAATCACAGTGAAACTTTTTCAGCCAATGAAGATAGATGAGGATCGGTACCCGTGTTAGTCCAGTTAGTTAGAAAAGAGTAAAAGTCCAGTAGCACCTTAGAGACTAGCAAAATTTGTGGTAGGGTATGAGCTCTCATGAGTCACTGCTCACTTCTTCGGGTTAAAGACTAACAAAATTTGAGGTAGGGTATGAGCTTTTGTGAGTCACTGCTCACTTCTTCGGGTTACAGACTAACAAAATTTGTGATAGGATATGAGCTTTTGTGAGTCACTGCTCACTTCTTCGGGTTAAAGACTAACAGAATTTGTGGTAGGTTGTGAGTTTTCATGAGTCACTGCTCACTTCTTCAGGTTAAAGACTAGCAAAATTTGTGGTAGGGTGTGAACTTTCGTGAGTCACTGCTCACATCTTCCGGTTTGGTGTAGTGGTCAAACCAGTTTGGTGTAGTGGTTAAGTGTGCAGACTCTAATCTGGGAGAACCAGGTTTGCTTCCCCACTCCTTCACTTGCAGCTGCTGGATGACTTTGGGCAAGCCATAGTTCTGTCAGAGTTGTCCTTGAAAGGGCAGTTTCTGTCAGAGCTCTCTCAGCCCAACCTACCTCACAGGGTGTCTGTTGTGGGGAGGGGAAGGGAAAGGAATTTGTAAGCCACTCTGAGACTCTGATTGAAGGGCAGGGTATAAATCCAATCTCCTCCTCCTCCTCCTCCACCACCTGCCTGTTGTCTAATCAGCAACAGCAAACTGTTACTTTGTTCTCAGCAGTGTACCCAAAGTCCATTTTATGGATCCATTCAAGCTGAAAATAGTTTCGAGATTCACAATTTATAGAATTATGTACCTGAATTATAACATGTTTATACAGAATGTTTAATGTTTCTTCTTACAATGTATTGATAAGTGTGCTGTAGTTATCTGAAAATGAAGTAATCAGTTCATAGTAATTCTAGCAGTTTTGGAAGTTGTCAAATTGGGTGCCATTTCTGAGAGTATGCTGAACCCTAGCAACAAAATTTCAGGGTGTTTAGTGGGCTGCAGCAGAAAAGGAAAGAGGGAAAAGTCTGCAGGGTCTATGGACTGCTGGACAAACAGCAGTGGCTTATATCCATCTGTATCATTAAGCAAACGGTGACCCATTTGTTGGGGGTATCCTGCAGACAAATGACTTTTTCTGCTGCTTTTTTACACAAGTGAGAGGCTTTTGCGGTAATGGGAAATACCAAGAACCTGGTATTTTAGCAGTTTCAGCTGGTAGGCTTTATAAAGCTATCTCAAGTCCCTAAATGAATTATCTCAGCTGGAACAGAGATGTGGCCAGCAGCAGTTATGGTTCATAGGGTCTGTATTGGAAGCATTGAACAAGGCCATCCTTGCCGTGCTCTGGCAGCTGTCCACTGTGTCACTTTGCATTTATTATTATATTTTATGCTTCTATTCCTTTTTGGAAGATACACTGAGATATTTGTATTATGAGAATGGTGAGGTGGACAGAGTATAGGACTTAAACCTCAAAGGCCTGGTGCCTAATTGGTATGAAACATACCTAAAGATGGAGGGAAACCCCCCCCCCCATTTTTGTTGCCTTGTAGGATACAAATGTGATAAGTAAGTCCAACTAAATAAAGACACCTACATTGATCCTATGAGGCAGAATTCTCCATTGCTAAACCTGGGATCGGAGAAATTGTATGTTGCTTGTGAAGATATGGATTGGCCCGCAGAATCACTGGTAACTACCTAAGAAAAGGGCATGATGGGCCTAACTAAGGACTTGTCTACTTCAGCGTCATATTTTCTGCAGTGGTCAGCCAGATTGATTCCAGAGTTCACAAGCAGGGTGTGAAGGTTAAGCAACAACCAGTCTTCTCAGTCATTTTCAGCATGTGATAGTCATACAGTGCAGTCATAAGAACCCTATCCTGGAAGTAAGTGCCATGAAATAAACCTAGGTAGAAATCTTAGCAGACATGCTTAGGATTGCTCTCAGAGACTCAGGGTTACATTTAGGTGTCACGGCTGATGGTGAATTTGTCTAATTCTTTTTAAAGTTCTCTCTAAGCTAGTGGACATCACCATATATTGTGGCAGTGAATTCTACAAGTTAATTGTGCATTGCTGGACAAAGTACTTTTCTCTTGTCTTCACTTTACCTGCCAATGAATAGTTTTATGAGAGGGCAAACAAGGAAGCCCATTAAAAGGAGCTCTTTCCATCAGTATACCAGGGACCCCCAACAGGGTGTCCATGGGCATCATGGTGTCCACTGACATCTTTCCTGGTGCCGGCCAAGTGATTTTATAAAGTGGGTGGGGCTTCTGCCCAGCAAGGCTTCTGATTGACCACTGGAGATTTGATTGGCTGTGCAGATTTTTTAAAAAACCTTTTTTGGCAGCAGCTGCCTCCACAGCACAAGGATCGTCACTGTGTGACTGAAGGTAGGCTGTGGCAGCCATTTTGTGGTTGGCTCCACCTCATGCAGCAGCCATTTTGTGGCTGCACCCACCATTGTGGGTCAGAATTCCAACAATTCCCGCAGGCTCAAAAAGGCTGAGGACTCCTGCAGTACACCATTCATAGTTTTATCAGTCTCTATCTTGTAGCTGTCTTTTTTTCTAAGAGAAAGTGGCCCAAAACTCATCAATCTTTCTGCATATGGAAAGTGCTTCAGCTCCATGGCAGCTCCATAATATGCTTTCAGATGGGGTATGTTGATATGTATGTTACAGATTTATATTTATATCATCCTGATCATGCTTTGAACTCAGAATGCCTTGAATAGGATATGCCAACGGGGAGTCCCAGTCCCTCTCCGGGGTCTCTTTGTCGCATGCGCTTCATGCAGGCGCCACAATTATGTCACCCCAAAGTGACGTCATTGCGCACGGCACATTGCAGGGGACGCTCTACCATTTAAGGAAAAACTCTATGTTAAAACCTATGACCAAAAGTTAAATATGAGTAGCCAGTGTGATGCGATGACAAAAAGGGTTTAATGCAGTCTTGGGGTGTATCAAGAGGCATAGCATCCAAGTCACAAGATGTCATAGTCCTGCTGTACACTGCATTGGTCAGGCCGCACCTGGAGTATTGTGTGCAGTTCTGGAGCCTTCACTTCGAAACGTATGTGGACAGAATGGAGTGCATGCAGAGAATAGCAACAAGGATGGTCAGGGGCCTGGAGACCAAGCCCTATGAGGAAAGGCTGAGGGACTTGGGAATGTTTAGTCTGGAGAAGAGGAGAACTGAGGGGGGATGTGATTGCTCTCTTGAAGTATTTGAAGGGCTGTCACTTAGAGGAGGACAGGGAGCTGTTCCTGTTGGCAGCAGAAGATAGGACTTGCAATAATGGGTTTAAATTAAGGGCAGGAAGGTACCGGCTGGATATTAGGAAAACCTTTTTTACAGTAGGAGTTGTGCAACAGTGGAATCAGCTGCCTAGGGAGGTGGTGAGCTCCCCCACTAGCAGTCTTTAAGCAGCGGCTGGACCAAACACTTGTTAGGGATACTGTAGCTGATCCTGCATTGAGCAGGGGGTTGGACTAGATGACCTGGATGGCCCCTTCCAACTCTGATTCTGTGATTCTATGAGATGGAGATTGACTCTATAAAGGAAACCACAGGCCTGCTCAGTTTGCCAGACCAGAGCTGTTAAAGATAAGACGTTTTGGCGGACGTTAATTTCATAGGGTTGTCATGGGTCAGAAGTGACTTGACAGCACTTAACACACACGCACACAATTTTAACACTGTCATAAAGAGTTATTTTGTTTTTACTTTGGCTTTGCAAGTGTGGTTCTTGTTGAACAGTCGATAGGCTTTCCCCCCCTGTACTGAAGAATTGCACTGAGTAATGACATATTTACGTGCATTGTTTGGATACATTTTCAAGTCATCTTAAGAAGCAGCAGCAAAGGGTATTTTTTTCACACTTGGAATCACTTCAGTGGTTACTTTTTGGCTTCTAAGAAAGGCAAAGGGACCAACAGATAACTAAACAGGCCCCTTAACAAGCTTCAAAGCACAGCCTGTGTGCATTGAACAGTATCTGAGTGCTGTTCTCCTCAGGTATGTCTATGGTCTCTTGATCCCCACTGGGAACAGCATAAGAAAATGTGTGCAAGACTCTTTATTGTGTTGTCACAGTGTCAGTGAAGAAATTTAATGCTGGTGTACAGAGACTCCACATCCATGGTGGCTAGAATGTTGTTTTCTAGGAGATGGTTGATGGACTCCTAGGTAAAGGTAAAGGTTCCCTTGCTCGAAAGCCAGTTGAGTCCGACTCTAGGGTTGTGTTGCTCATCTCCGTTTCAAAGCCAAAGAGCCAGCACTGTCCAAAGACGTTTCCGTGGTCATGTGGCTGGCATGACTAAACACCAAGGCGCACGGAACGCTGTTACCTTCCCACCGAAGTGGTACCTATTTATCTACTTGCAATTTCTTGCTTTCGAACTGCTAGGTTGGCAGGAGCTGGAACTAGAGACGGGAGCTAACTCCGTCATGCGGCAACTCGGGTCTCGAACTGCTAAACTACAGACCTTCCACAGCCTGCAGTTCAGCATCTTAACCACTTGATAAATGGACATAAGTCTGACATTAAAAACCACAACATTCAAAAACCAGTCGGGGAACATTTTAACCTCTCAGGACATTCAGTTGCTGACCTAAGTGTAACAGTTCTCTTACAAAGGGATTTCAAAGGGAGATTAGAAGGAGAGTCTACTGAATTGCAGCTGATAATGAAGCTCAAGACAATGCATCCGCCTGGACTGAACTGAGACCTAGGTTTCCTGTCTTGTTACCAGTGCTGATTACTCCCTGCCTACTCCTCCTCTGCATATCACACCCAGTCCAATCATGCCTGTTATTGTCATTCATCTGCTAATGTCATTTGGCATCTGAAATCACTCTATGCTCAGTTATAAGGACAGTTGGACTCACATTTGAGCTATATATGAAGAAATGAGCAGTGGCTCACGAAAGTTCATACCCTGCCACAAACTGTGTTATAAATAGTGCCTTTTTTAGTTAAAAAGTACCCATGATCATACATAAGAGCTCGGGGATGGAGCGATCTAAAAATCTAAATTATAAATAAATAATAAATAAAATGGTGGCAATTTCCCCCAACTTCCCCTTCCTTTGCAGATCCCCACTAGATTGTTCCAGAGGGTCCACTAACCCTTAGGAATAACATTTCAAATAGCTCAGTAGGATGCAGCAGCAGAGGGGGATAACAGCCGCCCCCTCTTAAGAAAAGGGTACTTAATTTCTTAATGGTGTGGTTGGGATTCAAGCCATTATCTGATAATCCTTACAATAGCCCTGTAAAGTAGATCAGTAATATTATCTCCAAGGTGTAACACCGAGTGGTTTGAGAGTGGAAAGATGTAGCTTACCTAACCTAAGGTTACCTGTCAACTTAAACCAGTAGTGAGAGTGGATCCAGCGATGTTCTGATTTTATTTCTGCTCGCCCTTTCGTATGCACTACACTCTTCAGTTGTTGTTTTGCAGGCAGAGTTGCCAACTGATGAGGAAAAATCCTGACCTAATAGAAGGTTAAACTGCAAAAAGTAGGCAAAGCTGTTTTAGAAAGTGGAAATTGGCAATAATCTCTAAATTGATGCCTGCAGATCAAGCTGTCTGCAGACCAAGACACAGGAGTAGGAGCTGGATGAAAAGTTAGTAGCCCTATTCTTGACAGGTGCCTTGAGAATGAGCTCAAAAGTGTAACTTGAATATTAATCTTTTGGAGGAATAAATTGCACTTCTAGTTTGCAAGAGAGGGACAGCAGGTGATCAACCCCCACTTCCTCCTTTTCCTCTGCCAGGTTCTTTCCTTGCCCTCTTCCCTCACCACCTCCTCTGCCAGGCTCTTTGCCCACCCAGTTTGTGGGGTGGCAGCAACTCCATGACTGTCTGGGGCTCTGGCAGCTCACCCTGTTGTCCAGCCTGCCTTGACCACATAATGCATATGTGTGACTTGAGAGGTAGCCTGTGGTTTGGCTCTTGAGTTACCTGATTGGATTGTAGGAGATGTGATAACTCAGAGTGATGGTGGCTCTAAAGTGAAAAAATGTGCTGAGTTTGCCCATAGTGGATAAAATGCTGGCTGTATACTAGAAGAGTTGGTTTTTTATACCCTGCTTTTCATTACCTGAAGGCATTTCAGAGTGGTTTACAATCACCTTCCCTTCCTCTCCCCACATCAGACACCCTGTGAGGTAGGTGGGGCTGAGAGAGCTCTGAGAGAACTATGACTGGCCCAAAATCACCCAGCTGGCCGCATGTGGTGGAGTGGGGAATCAAACTCGGTTCTCCAGATTAGAGTTTGCCACTCTTAACCACTACACCAAACTGGGTTCAAAACCCTGCTCAGTGACCACCACAGCCTCTCAGCCCAATCCATTTTACAGATGTCTTGTGAGGATGAATGAGATGGTCCTCATATATGCTTCCTTGAGCTCTTTTGAGGAAGAGCAGAAATGTGATAAACAAGGTTTCATACACTGAATTTGATTTGAAAATTTTAATCAACGATTTTTCTGTCTTTTCAGTACAAGCCCTGGGTTTTGATGGCCTACGGGATGGCAGCCTGTTGGTTTTTGTTGGGCACAAATGGTCTGATAATGATTTTGCTCCATACAAGTGTTTCGTACTTCATGGCTCAGTTTAAAAACCCTGTTCTGACCTGGCTGAGCTCCTTGCTTCTGTTGTTGACTTTACGCATACCTGCCCTGGAAGACATTAAGGTAATTTCTTTATGTTAGTAAATAAAGCATTTTATTGCAAAAAAATAAGCATTTTAATTTTCAATTTTGAAGAAATGCATTTAGAGGAATCATGTTAGCAAGAAAACCTCAAGTACAATGACTATTTAGTTATTCTTGACACCTTGAGAATTACCCTTTCTTTGGGAATCCTATATATATTATTCCCTTATGTATTGGCCATTTCCAGCTCTCCCATTGGCTGTGCAGTGCGCTCCATCAGCCATTGCCCATCAACCGCCACTCAAGAGAACTCGTGTGCCATTGGCTGAGTGCTGGGTCCACTCCCCTCCCCCGCCCACTGCCAGCCTGGACATTCTTCCCTCACAGAATAAACTATCAAAATGATTGTCTCTCCTGATGAAGACAGTTCTCCTTGACTCCTGTGGGACTAACTTTTCCCTCAGTGGTTCTGTCAGTAAAAAGGCAAAGGAAGGAAGCCCTTTCCAGTCCTTTGTGGGGAATTCATTGGGGCCAGTCCAGACTAGGGTCGCCAGCTCCAGGTTGGGAAATTCCTGGATATTTGGTAATGGAGTCTACAGAAGCCAGAGTTTGGGGAGGGGAGAGGCCTCAGCTGAATAGAATGCCATAAAGCCCACCGTCCAAAGCAGTTATTTTCTCCGGGGGCAGGGAGAGATCTGTTGTCTGGAGTTCAGTTGTGATACCTGGCGATCTTCAGGCTCCACCCAGGTTCTTGCTGTGCAAGTTGAGTGGGTGATTTCAGACCAGTCACAGACTTTCAGCCTAACCTACTTCACAGGGATGTTGTGCAGATCAAAAGGGGAAAAGGAGAATGATGTAAGCTGCTTTGGTCTCCACTGCGGAGAAAGACTGTACTTTTCCTTCTGGGGAAACTTTGCTGCCAATCTCCAGGTGAGGGCTGGAGATCACTCAGAATTAAAACTGCACTTCAGATGGTAGAGATCAGGGGCAGATAACAGTGGGTTTAGGGTTGGCTGGGAAGGAGATAGGATTGCCAACTCCAGTTTGGGAAATTCCTGGATATTTGAGGTGTGGAAGCTGAAGAGGGTAGGGTTTTAGGAGGGCTGGGACCTCAGACAGGTACAATGCCATAGACTCCACCATCCAAACCAGCCATTTCCTCCTGGGGGACCATTGCTGCCAATCTCCAGGTGAGGGCTGGAGATCACTCAGAATTAAAACTGCTCTCCAGATGGCAGAGATCAGTTCCCCTGGAGAAAATGGTAAGCTCTGTGTCATTATACCCTGCTGAGGTTGCCATAGCAAATTGACGCTGAGTGCCCAAGGCCAGGGCACCTGCCCAGAGCCTCTTTCTAGAGCTTGTTGTATTTATTTGTACAACGGACCTTATTCCTAGTTCATTATAAGGTTGAAGACACATCACCAAGTTGCCTAGGACTTCTCTACTGGATTACATCTTCTGGCTTTGCAGTCTTTTCAAACAGCATCTACCCACAATGGGTAGGTCTGTTGTGCCTCTGAACTGGATGTGACTAAAGTAGGAGGCAGTGATTCACACAGAAACATACAGAAGGAACTCCACCAAGGGTCTGACTAGATGACACTGGAAAATCTGTGACTGCATTTCGTCAGGATTTTAAAGTGGAAATAACACCACCGGGAACAAGGTTTTAACCCTTTACTACATGTGTGATTTTGCTGAATGGTACTGTTCGTTCCCCTATCTTTTGTTACCTTGGAAAGGGAAAAAGATGGGCAAAGAGAAGATGCCAACCTTTTTTATTTTTCTATATCAGAACTAATTGGTTTTCGTTGAAACCACACAGGCAGGGAATTACTCACCCGCAGGGCCCAAGCAGATATTGCTCAAGAAGATCTGTGAATGTATCTTCCCAGCTTTTAAAAAAGAGAAATAAGGGTCACATGGGAATTAGAATCAGACTGTGGTGCAGAGAGGTTTAATGGTTTGCAGTTTTATGTACTCTAAATGTAAACTTCTTTGGGCATAAGAGTGAATTATGCCTTTGCTTTTAATGCAGGAAAATGTGTGTGTTAGTTTTCAGAAACATACAGTACAATCCTCAACTGAGTTATGTCATAGACCACCTTGGGTCTGTGTGTGCTTACATGCGTGTGGCATGTTCATGTGCGTGTAAAACATGTTCCTCTTCTTTGTGCCACCACCCAAAGTAAGAAATCCAGCCTCCCATGCTACCAGTGACTTGAGGAACACTAGTAAAGGCTGTCTGTGAAAAAGTAAAAAGGGTAGAGGTTCCCAGTTTCAGCTGCACTCTTATGCATGTGTGTGGGCATGAGCAAGTAGCCACTAACAAATTGAGAACATTAGGTTTAGACCCGTACCAACTTTTGGAAAGCGGCTATGTCAGGGCAAAATCTATTGTCATTCAATGTCTCAGAGATATTGAGCTGCAAATGACTCACGCCGCAACTCCGCCGCTCTATAAATCTCTGAAACCCGAAATTTATATGACCACTCCTCAATATTTAGCTAATATCTCCAACCCAAATCATAGATGGGCTTTCTCCAGAGCCAGATTTGATGCTTTTCCATCGGCAGTTCTTTCTGGAAGATTTCAACGTATCCCAAGGCATTTGAGACTTTGTTCATGCTCCTCTGAGTCAATAGAGACCCTCCCCCATATTTTATTTTATTGCTCTTATTATGCAGAAGAAAGAGCCCTCTTAATTACACCTATATTAAGGTCACTTAGGGTCCAAGGACAACTAGCAATCCATTCTGAGGAACTTGTGCTGAAATATCTATTGGAGGACAAATCCATTGCAATATCAAGGAATGTTGCTAAATTTCTTTTTATTGCATTTGCAAAGCGCAAGCTCCTCCTTAATACTCTTTATGATGTCTCCTCTCTGTAATGTTTTGGTAACCTGGGTTTGCTTTTTTGATCCTGTATGCTGTTTGATGGGTCTTTGACCGTAATAAATAATGATGATGATGATGGTATGAGCAAGTAGCCTAAGGTGCATGAGGAGGCTTTTAAATCACAGTATGCTCTCTAAATCAGGAAAAGACATTATTGCTATAGATTATGCTGTAGCATGGACAGGGAAAACAGCTGTTATGCCTAATGGTTACAGTTCTAATGAAAAGAACAGGAAAATACAACACAAAGCTAAACTTAACAATACAGAAGAGTTACCTCTGGCATCCCTACCTGGATGTCTGTGAAATAACTGCACATCCAGACCCACCCCCTCTCCCTGCAGGGGAGTCCGGATCCCAGCATTTGGACAAAGACTAGTGGATGTTTCAACCTTTTACAGGGGCCACACTAATCTTCTCTGTATCATTCCAATTTTAGTATATGTGCTACCAAAGCCTTTTAACTTTTCCTGCCTTTGCTCGTGGACGGCTTCTCCCGATCCAGATTTAGCCCCATCTGGGAAGGTGAATCTCCATCTCCCAGTCAACCCAGGGCACTGGTACAAGCTTGAATAATGCAGGGAAAAACCTTGTTAAAATTATTGCTCTTGTGCTTTTAAAATTAGTACAGTTTAATAAATGTAACAATTGTTTGTACTCATTGTAGTGGCTGGCTGTTGGGAGGAAAGTTGGAGCTTATCTAAAAATGCAGTTGCCTTACAAATGGCTTTGTATTATAAGGATTCATAGTGTTTTTTGTTGTTGGGTGGGGGTTTTTTTTGGAACTTTCAGTTTTATGACAATTTTACATTTAGAGAATATCTTGGACAACTAACCTGATAAATGAAATGGACGTTCTTATTTTTTGCTCCAAAGGGGTAGCCCTGTTAGTCTGAGGCAGCTATATCTCCTTATTAGTGGGAACAGTGCAGCTTTCTAGCACGAACTGCAATCTCAGTTCAGACATAACAAACTATGGTTTGCATTAAACAGAAAGTAACTACTTAGCTGAGCTCATATTGTACAAGGGAAAGAAGGGATCATGCAAGTGAGTCCAAGGCTCATTCTGTGCTTATTCACGTAGTGCCAGGCCAGACCTAATTTTGAATCTGAATAATGATGTTGCCTCTCCCAGTGTTGGCTTAATCAGGGTCTACTTCGTATTCCATCAGTATGAGGTGTGGCGGTTGTGTTGGACTAGTATCTGGGAAATCCAGGTTGAAATCCCCACTCATGTCATGGAAGTTCACTGGGTGACCTTGGGCCAGTCACACGCTCTCAGCCTAACGTGCCTCACAGGGTTGTTGTGAGAATAAAATGGAGGTGAGGAGAATGATGTAAGCTGCTTTGGGTCCCCATTGGGATGAAAGGCAGGGTATAAATGAATTAAATAAATGTAATTTAATTTAAATAAATACTGCTTGAAGAACACATATGGCTCCAGGACTGTGGAATGACATCCCGGTGGTGCTGAGCAATGATCACCTTTGTTTTCTTTTAGGAAAGGTTATAAACTCCCTTTTCATTTTAGTTTTCTACCCACACACACACACCTGTTCTTTTGTTGTTTGCTAGTTTTTAAAAGAAGCTTTTGTTGATTATTTGAAGGATTGCTTTATTGTGTTTGTTGTATGCCATGGCTTCTGCTTCTTTGTTGTCATCTTTTTGGAAAAGTGGCATATAAATGCATTAAATATAATGTATGGATGGGCTGATGTTATTGGGGATTGGACTCCTTCCTCTTTCTGCCTCCTGTTCAGTGACAGATAAAAAGGGTAATAGAGACTATGCTTTGATCCCCTGGAACTTTGACATGATCAGAGCTTGACACCTATTCCCCTTTATTCATTTTTTTCCCCTGTGGAAGGCAAGATTATTGCTTGCAAATTTAAAAGAAGTTGCTGCAGCATGACTATCAGCTTTAGCCAGGATGGCAGTGACCGAGGCGTTCCTTTCTCCTTGTGTACCCTAGTTAGGAAGGGCAGCAGCTAATGTGGTGCTGGAGTTTTGCTTATCTGCAATTTTTTAAATGTCTGCTGCTTCGATTAATGTGAGTTATGTTCAAAGTGCTCCAGTATTGCAGGCTATTTCTGTTCTCCTCCTCCCGTATTAAAACTGTAAGTGGTGCGCCTATTAA